CCTTACCTACCCCAACCAAGCATACCACGAATCCCACTCCCCCCTCTACCATCTCCCCCCTTTCCATCTCTCCCCTCCTCACAAGCAACAACCCCGTGGCGAGAACCTCCCTTCCCGCCACTTCCATGACCATCCCACGTGTTGGTGAGTAGATGACGCCGACTACAAAATCAGCGACAAGAAAGACACATGGCCGCAATAGCCGAACGGAATTGGAAAGCCCCCATGCCGTACAAAACCCCATCACATATGTACCCTTCGGCATGACGCGGGGTGAGCAGTCGTTGTTCTGTGTGCCATCTTCAACACGCACATGCAGAACCACCCCCCCCCCCATCCCACCTCACCATCTCTCTGGGACAAACAAAAACCACCATATCCCACCCTCCCTTCGATGGCCGTGTCCACTACCGTGACGCGCCCGTCTTAGAAAACTCCAGAAAATCTTCGACTGCTAGGTCGAAGACGGGCGCCATGAACGCTTCATCAACCCCCCCCGCCGGCTTCGTCATCCGCTTTTTCTTCTTCTTCCTCATCCGGGGGGCCTATACCCAGCCAATCGAGCTTCATGGCGTCCATGGGGGAAGGCAAGCTGGCGTGATGTGAGAACTTAACGTCACAAGACGCAAAGTCGGGGATGTACAACGGACGGTCCACCAAAGTCATGGGGGGTCCCACCAACTTTTCCATGATGACGGTCGCAACTTGCAGGATATGGCGACGCGCGTTGAATGAGCGATGCATGGATGCGACGAGCATTGGCTTCGCTGTCATTTGGACGAAAAGCCACGCGCCGTAATGCGCACGAAGATCGTCCCCGCTCATCCGCATGAGCCACATGGTCGTCGCGAGCATGACCCTCATTGTGTTGGCAATGCTCTTCAACCTTTCGTAGGACACCTGCCTGTCGTCGACCCCCTTCGCCATGCTCACGGCGCTCGTGAAAGCCCCCACTAGTCGTTGGATGCTCGCCTCCTGATATGACGCCAACTCGTCGTCCTCGTGCCTGTCCTCAATTTCGGCGCCGACGAACCACAGTGGCAACTTCATGTCCATGTCCTGAGTAGTGTGGAAGACCATGGACCTCACACATATACGCCAGTCCTCCCCCATCCAGAAGGCTCGAGCGATTTCAGTGGCAACGTTGTTCAACGCGTACCTGTACGTAGCTTGGTACCCCCGTTGCCTGCTCGCCGACTTGAAGACCCACGCATGGATTACCCGCAAAGTGATGGTCTGCACCTTCAGCACCCTAAGGCTTTCCTTGGCAGCGCTCAACTTCGTTTCGTCCTCGATTTTGTGCTGCGGGATGGTGGTATGAGGCAAGACGATGCTTCGACGAACAGGCAGAGGCTGCACTCCCTGCGCCACCGCCACAAGATGCAGGCGCGCTTCCTGTGTCAACTTCACTATGGCGTTCCCTTCGGTTTCGTTCCAGAAGCGGAGGTCGTCCACCCACAGCTTCGACGCCGCCTCCATTCCATCCCGCATATTTCGCTGTCGCACCCTGTTCACCAGCGCTTTGTCGTCCTCCCCTACTCCGGCGACATCGCTTGCCCTCGCACTTTCCCCCACATGTGAAGCCACCCCCACGGCGGCCCCTTCCCTCGTGCCTTCCCCTGCGTGTGAAGCCCCCCTCGATGCGGCCCCTGCCCCCGCGCCTTCCCCCACGTGTGAAGCCCCCCCCCGCTGCGGCCCTGTGCAGGGCCGCAGCGCCTCCTGCGCACTGCGCAGGAGAGCGGTTCCTATTCCCTTGACCGATGGCTTGCGAAGTGCCGCCAACGTCTGCAGCCGTCCTCGACCTCAGGGTTGCTAGTGTTTATGTACGGACAGGAGGCCCATGCGAGGCCGAGGCGTCATTCAAACAAGGAACGGGCGCACGAATTTGCTGTGTGACGCCACCTGCCACGCCCTCCCTGGATACTACCGCGGCGTCGACGTCGATGGGGTCTTCCACGATTACGCGGCCTCCTCCGCCTCGTCTTTCGCCACCCTCATAGTCCCCCTGTTCGATTCCGATGCTTTCACTCGTCCGCCTGAAAGACCTGCTCTTCAACGACACTTCCTCCTCTTCCTGGATGACGCTCTCCTCCTGCGTCGCCACCCCCTCCCCCAACCACTCGTCATCTTCATTATAACCTGCAACAGAAGGCCCACCTTGGACGACCTTCCTCTTCCTATTGATGGTGTGACAACCCTTTTTCTCCCTTCCCGCCGCTTCCACTGCCTTGTTCGTGGCGGACTTGCCGCGTCCGACACCGCGGGACGACATGGCGCCAATTTAAACACTTCAAGATTGATTAGCCGCAAAGTCGAACTCTCCACGACGATGGCGGAATGTGCCCTCAGGCTGTGTTCGGAAAGATAGTCTCCACTGCGACGGAGGCGATGACGATGATGGCGACGATGTCGACGATGGCCCCCCAAGGCGACGATGGTGACGATGACGACGATGGCGATGACGGTGAAGACGACGACGATGGCAATGCACAAAAAATCA